GAGATTCTAAATATTAAAAAGAGAAAAATTCTGAAATAACCAGACTGAGTGACACAGAAGTATTGCAAATTTCTACCGCTTGAAAAACATTTAAATCCATGAAATAAAAATGAATAAATTTATAATCAAAAGCAAACCAGAAAGATTACCATATTATTAGATTGTCTACACACATTTATAGAATTTAGAGTCATAATTTATTTATTATGCTATTCATTTTTCTTTCCAATCATAGCAATTTATAGATCTTTTATGCATTGTGGATATACAAATATAAAAAATAACCACAAAGATATTCCAATACTCTAATTAGTAGCACATAACGAAGACAATAATGAGCATCTTCTAATCAATGTGAAAAGCATGAGCCTTTAAACGTAATTAGATGAAGTTCAGACAATTGGTCTACGGGATAGTTACCGTACCACAGGATTTGACTGTAAAAGGCATTATTTTAGTGTGATGCATGAGTGATTTTCTATTATTCATTTGTTTTTATTAGGGTATTTTTTTATTACTCACTTTTTTATTTATTTTCATTGAATTTCTTTTTGGCTCATCTTAAGTCGAAGAACAGTAATGGCAAGTCTTAAAAAAAAACAGTTTCTATATTAGCATGTATTTATGACATCATGAATTTTCGAATGTTTTACCCACTTTCAAATGGTTAGATTTACTGTCAGTTGGTAAGAAAAGAAATAATTTGGCTAAACGTAATATTATACTATAGCAGTGCCACAGAATGCAGACTTGTCAAATTAACAATTTGGCTAAAGTTATTTTAACCTAGTAAGGTGGGTCTTGCAAATATGTGGTGTGTATTTTAAAGTACGTATATATGTACAGTATATGTCTTAGATTCTTATTCAAGTTCGATAGTAAAAGTAGCAGGCATTACCTTAAACATACACAGTCATTCATCGTTACATGTACCGCACCTTAAATGACAATGCTAAGATTGAAATGCAAATGCTTGAAATCGTTTGTGGTGCCATAGGTATCTGAAGAATTTTTGCAATACAGCCCACCACTTTGATGCGTGGACAGATACAATGTATCGGTAGATTATACAATTAAAAAAACCTGTTGATTCAACCACTTTCATATGATTCTCCTGACACAAATCGATTTAGTTTCTTTTCAAATATTAGATAAATTAAAGCAGATATTCCAGAATAAGCAGATATAATCAGATTGCATTCGAACAATTTTAAATTTATGAGAGGACTGTTTAATGTGGGTAAAAGTATCGTGTATGTTAATAATGTGTTATGTCGTTATTGATGTGTTATTGCATTCCATTGTTGGAAACCCTGGTTTAAGACCCATCCCTTCGACCTCAAAACATTTGTTTCTGGTTCTCAGATTTAAAAAAAAGGTACAGCCTTAGCTATGCATTGCATTTCTTCCTCCATTTTTACAACCATATTACATGATAGTATAAGCATAACAGTGTGAACTGTCTTGGCTGCAATGTGGATCCTGAAAGAACTGTATCAAGTTGTTTCTTTAAATGCTCATGATTTTATAACTTAATATATTGTCCACCATTTTTTTTTGGTGGTGACAGTGACACGAGATATAAAAATAGTATTATATAATTCTCAATATCATTATTATTTTGTTTTTCAGTTATTTCAATAATGAATTGAATAATATTCCAATAAAACGAGCCAAAATACACTTCCAAATAAAAAAGCAAAAATTGTTTTCTCTTGAGCTGTGACCGTAACATAAAAAAATCCTTCATTTTAAATTATATATCTTGTCTTTCAATTAACACAATAACTCAGCGTGTCAGTTTATTATTATTTCTCAATTCAAAGAATATTCTCTCTGCTGTTTTATTGCTATTCCATCCACTGTATATGCTTGGTATACAATACATAACTGGGAATACTGTACCATATGGTTTAGCTTTCTCATAATTACCCCATTAAGTGATAAAAAGCTGTAAGCAAGGAATCCAATCCATTCATCCACACATATATATATATATATATATATAGTAGGTCAACATCTTTCAGTTTATGACATGCTACATATACTTCTAAGTGGTAAAATTGTGACTTCACACTTCCTCAATTTATACAATTGTACATGTTTTTATACTACGATGTTATACACATGACAAAAAACAAATAAAAAGCAGTATTGAGTGGGCCAAAACATCCATCCAATTTAATATTTGTTTCTAAGATGTGGTAAAAATGTCTTCTATCGTATCTCAAAAAGGTCTTTAACATACAATGCATCATACTGAAGAATACCTATATTTTTCATGGATTATTCAGATCAATATATTGAATATAAAATAATACATGGATTTGTATTGAAATTATTCTCAAATTGATAACTTTCTGCAATTTCTTATTCAGTTTTTATCTAAAATTTACTGGGAAAATGACAATTAAAAAATTGATTTTTAGTCGATCAATGTTGTATTGATTGACTTATTATTATAGTCAAATTTATGATAGTATTCAGTTTCATAATTTTAAATATAACTAAATGTTGTAATGCGAAATTAAATATTTGTGTTTTGGTATATTTGAGGGCATTTACATGGACAGTATATTATAATCAGATGAGCGTTACAGACATAACCGTCACTATAACTTCTTAGTCTAATCAAATTTCTGTCGCTACAGAATTGGTTTGCCCTGCAAATTTAAGCTGATTATAAATTGACAACAATAACATACATCAGTGGCAATCCTATAAGAACACAAAGCACTGTGTGTTGTAGACATGTGTTCTTTATGACATGCATAATTACATTTACTGCAACATTCTGTAAGAATATAGGTTTATTAAATCATTGATCCAAATCATAATTAACCTGAGAGTGACATTATGTAAACATTTTTAGACTAAAATTTCCATTCAACATTTTTTTGAATCAATAATTGCATAATTTCAAATGTGTTACAGATTTTGATTACAACTTAAAAAAAAATAAGGGGTAAATTTTGCAGGTTCATTCAGTTTTATGCTATGACAAATGCAGGTCAAAGTTCAAAGTACACAGCAGAAAAATCTGCAAGAAATAAAAGTATGAGTAATTAAATAAAAATGTTTCAGAGAAGTAGTAAATAATTGTTTAAACATTTATAAAAAGCACTCTGCAAGATGTTATGATACATTGAAAAGCGAAAGTAAAAGTGCATACACACTTGGATTTGTTGAGACCTTTGCTAACGCCCAATTCACTCTTATTATGCGGTGGCCATTGCTGACTATTTGCATATTTGCATATATCTGCAGCAAATCATACATATTGTATCATTAAAGAGGACCCAAAATGGACAAATGAATGTGATTGGAACACAAAATAAGTCCGGAATTCCAAACACATGATGAGAGCGAATACAGATCACGGTGTCATCATTTAATAAAAAAATTACAGATTTAATCACTATCTGGGAAATCCTGGCAGAATTACAATCCGTGTAGTACAAATAGTAATATGTATCATTGCTGCATTTTTTATGCAAAGTGAAGAATTTTTTTTTCTAAAATTGACTTATTTCTAGCAATTTAAACTTCTAGTAAAATATTATATGGTAAATATAATAAGATAATCGTGTAGGTTAATATGCACACCAACAGACAACATATGTAAATAAAACAGGGATAAATCACAGTCTTAGGACAACTGAAGGGGCCTTTAATTAAGAGTTAATTACTATATATGTATTTTAAACCAGTCAGTTACAAAATAACACAACAGAATGTGAATTACCATCAAACGTAAATGATGATAAAATTAATAAAAAAACAGTCAACATTGGAAAAATGTTTCTTTACTGTCTCAGTGTTCAAAGAAAGTAAATATTTATGCTAAAACACTTATCGAACAAATTAGTACATTCTATTTTTCAAAAAAATCTCTTTACAGTCATTACATTACTGGTTAATGCCATGCTCTGAGCCAAGCTGATTGTGTGAAATACAACAATAAAAATTGACATACTATGGTGGGTGACTGAATAATAGGTGTAAATATATCATGGGTGTTTACTACATTGACTGGTCACATGATCAGGATTCCATTGTTTAGAAAGTTGTTGCTGGAAATGAATTGTGCATGATTAAATATAACCCTTGAATGCAAAATTGGAAAATATTCAATGTACATTGTTATTATTTTAGCTTCAATATATGCTTGGTGATACCATAGACCTTAAAATGGTCTATGGTGATACATGTTCGTGAGTTCACTGCTCTGTTGAGGACAAAAATAACGTACTTTATCTAGAATGTTTATTGCTTTCAGGCTTTCACTAAAAGGAAATTTTGAAAGCAATTGAATCACGTCTGTATTTCTATATGAAAAAAATGAGGCATATTACATGGGATATTAATATATAGGGAACTTCAGTATGTGTTGTGAATAGCTAATACGTCGAAGACGTGTAATTATATCTGTAGTTCCGTTACGCTAAACAAATCAGTGAAAGTAAACATGGCTGATATACTGGTTTGAATGTACACGTATTGACGCAGTTCTACAGTAGTAGGACACCTGTGGGTCAATGTGGCACGGTTTATTTATCAGTACGAATTTATTTGTTTAAATGTTTATTATTTTTTCCTGCACTGGTCAAAGAAATTGAGATTAATTGAAAGACACGTTCAGTGTTTTTATTTTTACTCCATTCTATAAACGAGTTGTGTATGTAATGTATACCAACGATTTAGTCTTATCATTTACAATGTACAATTAACATAACGTACAGTTGTGTCCCGGGTAGAGTCGGGAGAGAGACACGTGTATAAGAGATCACATTTCTTAACGTACCGTGGGCCTGTGTTACCAAATCGATCGTGTTGTGACACTCCCAAGACAAACATGCCATCAAACAACAAATATGTGGTAAACAACGAAGAGACAACCCCCACTAACAACACAAAATAACTGAACTCGTCGAAATTAACAACATTCCGTGTTCCCACCTGGCATACATTTTGACAAATCAGAAACAATGTTCACTTACCTTCACCTGTACGGAGACCAGTCAGATGGGGCACTGCTACGTTACGCACCGATGTCCGCTGGGGTGTGGTCAGCTATTTCAGGCCAAGGTGGGAAAATGTGTACCGGCGGGTCGAAACACTTTCACATGCAAATCGGCAAGCTATTGTTAGTACAATTTGCATAACAATAATAGAGAGCTCCATTAGAGTCTTGTTGTCGCAGCCGCTGGTGGGGGCATATAATGTAAAATGACTAATTTTCACTGGTTTAAATTTCACTGATTTAGCATTTCAGGCATATTCAGTGGGTTTTAAATTCACGGTTTTATCATTTAGATAATGTGTTCTATGCTAAATTTTACATAATCACTGGGTTTTAATTTAGCGCATTTTCCAGTCAGTGTAATAAGCAAAATTAAAACCCAGTGAATAATTAACCACTTCACCGTACACGAAGTCATTTGATGGCTTACAATCCAAATAATCGGAGATAAAGATTTTCTCAATATGCGCCGATGAAAAAAGATATGAATAAAATATAGTAAAAAAAATAGTATTGATATAATTAATTAAATGTTTAAAACACACACGTAAGTGACGCCAGAGTTTTTAATTACACATGGAAGTCAAATTAAAACTCATTATTTTAGTGAACTTACCATAAATATATTTACTTTTTTGAAAAGTTGTGAGTTCAAGAGAAAATCATTATCATAAAAAGTATTCCCGAACTCAACAGAGCAGTTTTGAAAACGGATTCCATCCAAGTTGCACATCCCTAACAATTGGGGGCGCTCCACATAATTCACTTTCACACCGACAACTGCACTGAATGTCCCCCTTTTAAAGCGCGGTGGTCGTCGCGCAAGCGTGTTCAATTTCATGTAAATAAACAATGTATTTTACACGCGTTGTGTACGTCACTATAAGTCCCATATCGAACAGGACGCGGCGCGACGACCACCGCCTTTAATTTATAAAATACAGCCAGTAC